ACTAAGTTTGAAATAATTCCGGAGAATAATGTCGCTAAAATCATCGAAATACCGAATATTGGAAGGTAACGTTATATGAGATCTATACGAAGGCGTCGATGATATGCACAGAAATTTTCTGACATAGGCTGTAATATCCATTACGTACTTCAAATACCAATTTTGAGTCAATTCCAGTGAATAATGTCGCTTAAATCACCAACACACCGAATATAGGGATATATGGAAGCTATACCAAAACGTGGACCTACATGGTCCATTCCCATTTGCAATACCAAAAGTCCTGCAGACATAATATGCATTTGGGTAAAATTTTATGAACCTACTTCATTTCGTTCGGAAGCTAGAGTGATTTTCACAGACGGACATAGCTAAACCGACATAGAATTTTATGCTGTTCAAGAATATACAGAGTGAGATAAAAAACTGCAACAAAGTCAAACCTCATAATTTGTACATTTTTTTTAAATTAAATAGCATCAAATTTTAGAATAAGTTTAGATTTGTTCGAATTGGTCACCTTTGGCACGAATTATGACCTTCAAACGGCCAACGAAACCGTGTGTGGCGCATTCTGGAAATCCAAGGTCTGCGGCCAAGGCTATAATACACCCTCCAGAATATTTTCGCGATAATAGTGGGCATTTATTCTGATGCCACGGTCGATTAATACGAGCGGAGAGTGACCATTGGCTGTTATGGCGGTCCACACCATCACCATGGCCGGCGCTTCAGTTCTGATGGCCAACCGAAGGTGCACATTTTCAGCTGACATCTTTGGCTGACCTCTTTGTTTGTTTACAAACTGCTGGACAACGAATGTTTTCTTATCGGAGAAAATCAAATTCGGCAGTTCACCACTTTCGGCCAAGCGAAGCAACTCTTTAGCTCTTCTCACCAAAATGCCTTTGTACGCTTGTAAACAATATAATGAGCTGTCACTGGAATAATTTTAACAGCTGTCGGTCGAGTGGCTTAGAAATTACAGCAGTCTGAATTTGGTTGCAGTTTTTTTCATCTCACCCTGTATTTACTTTGTGGGGTTCAAAATTATTATTTCGATGAGTTACAAACAGAGTGACGAACTTTATATACCCTCGGGTATAAAAACAGCGCGGTAGGCACGAATCACTTTCAAAATAAATGAGGGGAATATATATTGGAACTATATGTAAATCTGAACCGATTTCGATTAAATTTGTCAAAAGTATTTCTAAGCTGTATCCTATACCTCGTAAGGAATAGAATTGTTATAGAGTTCATATAACGACTCTGAGGAAACTAAATCTCAAATCGGATGAAAGATATATGTGAGAGCTATATATTAATTCTGTCGATTTGGCAGATGTTGTTCTCATCATAACCAGCACCAACTCATTATAACTTAGGTCTACAACATGCTATTGGTCCCATAGTGCAGTGAATCGATTACACTGACCATAAAATGGAAGAAGCTCGCTATGAACTTTCCTAACAGAGAACACATTTTGTAATAATAAAATTCAATGATTATAAACCAAACTGATAATGTGTATGTAGTAGTGAAGCAAAACACGAAATGTGTGTGTAGTAATAGCTTAAAAATCATCCTTTAGTGTAAATTGGTACTACTAAACTACTCAGTAAATTTAATATTCTTATTTTCAGAAATTCGTTTTCCCCACCTCATTTCAAGATGGACGTCGACTATTTGCGGCGTATCACACCAAGCAGAGACGTACCGATATTAGACGACGACAGTTTCGTGAAATGTATAAAAAATTACAAATTAAACGCATCGTTCGACGATCGCACAAGGTGTCCATTAAAAGCGATTCCAAAGATTCCTCATCGTATAATGCCCAACATAATTTGGTATTGGATACCCAGTTCTCTTCGTCGAATTTCTCCTTACCCCAAGTTACCGACATCGACTTAATCGGTTGTGAACGTACCACCAAATCGTGTGTGGGTACCGTCTATAATCAACGTCCATTTTATGTCTATCTGGGTAAACATACTCCGCCCTGTTGTTTGGATAAACTGAAGAGTACCTTCAACCATGTCCTTGAGGAATTTGAGAATGTCGGCATTCGCTATTGGTTAGACAATCAGGCTCTGCGCACAGCCATAGATACGAATCGTTTGTCACCGGACGCCTACGACATTGACATAAGTTTTAATGTCAACGATTTGGAGCGTTCCAATTCGCTGAAGAAATCGCAAAATAAACCCTATGTTGATAATGAGGGTTTCTATTGGATCAAGGCCACCGATGGCCATTATTTCAAGGTGCAGTTTTCCAAAATAAATCAAATCGGAGTTAATCTGTTGCCATTCGAGATCAGTGGCAATGTGGTTAAACCGAATGGCTTCTTTGGCTGGAAAGCAAAACCATTCTCGGCCGATTTCCTACATCCCATGTCGACGGTGCTATTTTTGGGTAAAAATATTATGTGTCCCAATAATGTAAGAGATTATTTAGAATTTAAGAGTATTCCATAGATGGCGTGAAAGCCAAGGAAATAGAATTGAAGTACTTTATGAGTTTATAAAACAACAGACTTTTAGCCACATAAGTACCCAGAGATCTCTACAGATATAAGTGAATAACATCATATCCTTACATAGTCTAATCGTAGCTTATTTAGATTTAGTTAGGTTATGTGATTTTGTTTTGACACTTTCAATATTCTAGAAATGTGGCATGCCACAATAGTTTAGTTAAGTAATTTGCCAAGCACTGAAAGTTGCATTGAAAGTAAAGTTTCCTTCTACGCTTCTACGCCATTTCCAAATGTAATTCATTTTAGTTTAGTATTTATTCGTAATATTTCATTTATAAATCTGGTATTCCATTTGTAACATCGAAACATTTAAATTGTAATTTGAAAATTCCATTTGAAATTCGAAACATTCTATTTAAAATCCGAATTATTACATTTGCTATTCGAATTACTTTATCCGTCAAATATACGAAAATAAAAAAAAAATATTTTGAATTATAAATGGAAAATTCTAATTTGAAATAGAAAATAACAAATTTCAAACTACAACTGAAAAGTTACGAATATCAAATACAATCTTTTGAATTACATCTGAAAAGGGTGTAGTTAGACACACTTCTACAATTCCTGTGCCATAGATTTTTAGAAAATTTTGACAAATGTTGATTGTAATTAAATTACTTTTAATTATCCCCTATCTCCCCCTCGGTTCTCCATTGTTAATACATTTAATATAAATAAACGCAACACCTTTAAAGCTATGTTTTTCGAAAAAAGTTTAGCCTTATATTTGTCAGTAAGATATAGTGAGTTTAAAACACCTACACATACACCTACATACATACACTAACACACTTATTCAATTATATTATATAGATATATAATTAAATACATAATTACATACATATTCCTAATTGATTGATCATCTGTAAAGAAAAAACACTACCTATATAACAAAAGAAAAAAAATAAATAACATCAACAACAAATAAAACACTTTAAAAGTATTGAAAATGGGATTTTCTTTTTGGAAACTATATACATATATATTCGGTATTTTGATGATTTTAGTTATTTTATTGCAGATTATTATATATATATATATATATATATATATATATATATATATATATATATATATATATATACTTTTTGGGCGGTACCAGAAGGAGTGATCTGATATTGCCCGTGATTCCATCTATGTTTGATAATAATATTACGATGTAGGGTAAGTGTACCAGTAGTCGGCACTTTTAGGATTTTCGCGTTTTTAATCACAATTCTGAATGGAACTTTTCAATTATTACAAAGTTAATTTATTCAGATTCGAAATTTTGTATAGTTTTTTGCAATAATAAATAAAGTTTTAATAACTTTTTATTAAATTTCATAAATTTGCAGTTTCATTAAAACAATGCTTTTTTGCCAGTAGTCGGCACCACTTGCCAATTGTCGGTATGGCATGTTCCAACAGTCGGCATACCAATTTTTTGTAAGCATAATTAATAAAAATAATAAATTAATTCATTAAAATATTAAATATTTGTTTAGTTCAACTGATTCGAAGTCTTTATTGTACTTTCCTTAAGAATATGGATTGTTGAGGACCTTCACAGACAAAAATTTTATTTTTATTAGAATAAATCATCTTTTCTTAGCGAAATTGTATACAACGATGGCTGACAATATATTTGAAGTAAACAAAATACATTTAGTTATAATAGTTTCATTTCTTTGGGCTTAAAAATAAAAAGTGCCGACTACTGGGACATGCCGAACTTAGGCACACTTGCCCTACCAAGTTTGGGCCAAATCGGATACTCCCGTCGAGAGTTATCGTGTGAACCAGCCAGCCACGGACGGACATCGCTAGATCGGCTCCAAATGTCCTGAAAAGGATTTGGTCCAAAGAGACCTAGGATCTAAAACAGTTATTTCTATGAGACACGTTTTGTCCGTATCAAATGCTATATGACTGATGGTATAACATATGCAGGGCAACGTCTTTTTATAGCCCACATATACACCCCTTTATTCGGTATTAGCCACATCATTAACCGGAATCGTTTAAAATTTCGTATTTGAGGTTCGTAATCGGTACTACATCGTATACTCAGCTCTTTTCAATGAAATTGTTCCGGCTTTAGTTCAGCGATTTAAAGTTATAACATAATTTAGTCTTTCATTTGGCTCACATCTGATTTTGTATATAAACATTCGCTGCTTACATGAACCCCAGTCTCTTTTATTTTTGTTCTGAAAGTCTCTTTATAATTTCAAACATCCCTTATTCCAGTTAATCTCTGATAAATCTGTCACCATTCTATATCTGGTTGTGGTCTTTGCTATTTACTTTCGTATGATTCCCTCGTTTCAGAGTGGGAGCAAAATTCGCTCGTAAACACGCAGATTTCAATCTTTTAACTAAACCTTTTATTTAAAATAAACGTTTCAATACCACCGGTACCAAATGATTGAATTTACTCACATTGCAACTTGCCAAAATAATAAAAAACACACACACACACATCTTTTTGAAAACTCACATTTATTTTTCAACTCTGGACAGTTGTGGTGGTATCTTTGATGATTTCACCCTCGGGTAGTTCTCGCACCAGGGAAAGTAACTTTTCCAATTTTTGCACCTGCAAAACAGACTGTTCCAAGTTTTGTTGTTTCTTGGGGGGCTTAACCATCTGACGCAAGTTGGGTGACAATTTCAGTGAGGTGACAGTGCCTCTGCAATAAAAAAACTACAATCAATATCTAACTTATAGACTACGAATCGAACTAATTATTTACTTATCATCGCCCACAATGATAAATGGCAATTTCTCGTTAAACGACAACCGCGTCAATTTATTCTTCCTCTTCGGCACCACAGCCTGAATACAAATCGCTTTGTATTTGTTCACATTCAAATCGAAGACATAAACCTTTCCCTCATTAGTAACGGCTGCAAACACCGTACTCGAATACGGTGCCCATTTAACATCTCCCACTGCGGAGCCCAAATCGAAGATGAACAATGGTTCAGAACGCATGTCTTCCCAGATCTTAACACGCCAATCTCCACTGCACGATATGAAAATATTCGAATTGAAGCGATTAAAATCAATACGATATACGGATAAATTATGGGCTCGATATGTCATGAGGTATTTTGAGCTATAGGCAATGCTGCATTTGTAGATGCATCCCTCTTCGGTGCCCACTAGAAATATTTCAGGATCTTCGGGATGAAATTTCATGCAGGAGCCACAGCTACGCAGACGTAGTTCGGTACCATCTGGTCCCGAGACAATACCGTTTTCAAGGAACAGCGTTATTATTGTCGTCACCATTAATTTATTTTGCATCAGTACCCAATTGAAGACACGACCTCCCGAGGATACGGAATAGAAATTGATTTCACCATCGGCCATATCGGGACCCCATTTTATCTGTAAGGTGGGAGATTTCGAAAAATCATTAAGAAAAAATTAACAGCATAATTCTATAGAACATCTAGAGGGCTTATTGTTAAGTAGGGGGTAGTAGAAGGTTTCAAAGTATTGTAGAGAAATGTTCTAGGACGGCAAATAACCTCAAGGTCTTTTAGGTCAGAAGAAGACCTTAAGGTTCCTTGGGCCAAAGAAGAACTTCAGATGTTCAATCGGAAGATGATCTCAAGAACTTGACTGCAAAGGACCACAAGATGTTCTTGAGCGTAAAACGACCTTAAGATCTTCTAGGGTAGAAGGAGACCGCAAGGACTTCTAGGCCAAGGGATGGCCTCAAGGTGTTTTAGGGCAGCAAAAGACCTAAGGGTCTTCTGGGGCAGAAGTAGGCCCAAAGGAATTTTAGGACATGAGAAGACGTAAACATCCTATAGAGCAAAAGGAGATCTCAAGGTCTTCTGTGGGAAGAGTAAGACTGCAGGCTCACCTATGGAACGAAGAAGACCCCAAGGTCTTCTATGCAATGAAGAAAACCCCAAGGTCTTCTGTAGAACGAAGATGACATCAATGTCTTCAATCGAATGAAGAAGACCTGAAAGAATTCTGTGGAAAGAAAACGATATCGAGGTCTCGTATGGAACGAATAAAACCTCAAGGTCTTTCATGGAAGACTAAAAAGACTTCAGGGTATTCTATGAAATAAAGGTATTTTATGGAAAGAAGAAGACCTCAAGTTCTTCTATAGAACGAAGAAAATCTCAAGTTCTTCTATGGAATGAAGACGACCTCAAGGACTTCTTTGGAACTAAAAAGACCTCAAGTTCTTCTATTAAACTAAGAAAACTTCAAGGTCTTCTATGGAACGCCTTAATGCTTTCTAGTGCAAAAAGAATACCTTAAGTTATTTCAGGGCAGAAGGCTTCTCTGTCTTCAGAAGCAGAAGAGGACCTCACCGTCTGCAAGGGCAAAGGAAGATCTCAAGATCTTATGATGCCCAGTATTTTATACAAAGAACTAAGTCTCGTCTTCTTCCGGAAAATTCAGTTAGGATTGTTCAAGGTTATGTCCTACAGTAAAGATATAGGACTCCCACACCAATAAAAGGAAATCTTAAGGACTTTATTACTTCTCAAGGAAGATTTTAAGGACTACTCCTCAAGGTCCAAGATGTCCCTGAGGTCTTCTTTTTTCCTAGAACACCTTGCGGTCTTCTTCTGCTCTACTTCATTGTCTTGGCGAAGGATTCATTAAGGGCTTCTAGAGCAGAAGAAGACCTCAAGGTATTCTAGAGAAAAAGAAGACCTCAAGGACTTCTTGGATCTTCAGGAGTAGTCCTTAAAATCTTAATTGAGAAGTCCTAAAAATTTTCTAAGTAAGACCCTAATATCCCCTTTCGTTGGTGTGTAGTACTATACCTTTATTGTAGGACATATCCTTAATCAACCCTAACAGAATTTTCCGAAAGAAGAGAAGACTTTGTTCTTTGTATAAAATACTAGGTAGTTTTCTAATGCACGTATCTCTGGATCAACACCTTTAATACCTACCTCCCAGACACATTCGATGTGTTTATCGCCAACACCCATAGATACATACAAAGGTTCTCGATAATTCTCCTTCAGATTATAGACATGGACATTACCATCGTACAGACCAATTGCCACTAGGAAAGGATATTTTGGATGGATATCACAGCACATTACACCACTTTCGGTCATGACTGGAATCGAAAGGTTAAAAAATTGAACTTTAATAAATCTCCTTTCCTCATAACAGACTACCCACTTATATAGTCTGGATACGATGGATTCTTGACAGTGAAAAGACATATGGAACCCTCGCTGGGCTGTTTCATGAAGTCGTCTGTAAGAATATAAAAATTATGTAAAAAGTATTCGGATATATTTTCCTTGATTCCTTACGTGATCCAAAGCACACCGCAAACAAATCGTAATAGTAAGGATTAAACATGACATCGGTTACACTCATTTTCTTGGTTCTTTCGTATTGAAATTTCCACAACGGTAGCAAAGTGCCCTCGCCGTCTCTGAACTCATCGGCCGGATCCTCCCAATAACGATAATCATGAGCAATGTCCTTGTAGATATTTTGATTTATCATGCGTTCCAGTATCTGCCAGCATTTCAAATACTTCTTATTCAGCTCCTCGGCCTGTGCTGCTTTCAGTTCCTGTTTGCTCATTTTCAACTCGTCCTTGCGTTGTGCTTTCTTATCATCCTTTTTGTCGCGTTCCTTCTGCTGCTGTTCAAAATCTTCTGCATAGCTGTCATAAATGACCCATTGCAAGACATTGGCGCCATACTGGGATCGTGGGGGCGGTATGGTTTGGGTGTCGACATTCTGACAAAAAATAAATAGTTCTTAAAATCTCATAGAAGTGTGGTCCTCCTTACCCTAGTTGGATTGGTAAATGTCAATGCCGCTCTTTCACAAAAGTTAAATTGATTGATGAGCTTGCGTTTTTTACCTCCAGCGGCTGCGGCAGCTGGAGCTGCATCTGCGGTTTCTTCTTCAATCTTTTCACCCTCCTCGGCCTCACCACCCTCTTCGGCAGCCTCTTCTTCGGCTTCTTCTTCGCCTTCAGCCTCCTCCGCCCCTTCCTCACCCTCTTTGCCTTCTTGGTCCTCACCTTCTCCACCCTCTCCGGCTTCACCATCATCAGTTTTGGGTGGAGCAGCTTCAGCTTCCATTAACGAGTAACGGGGAGCCGGCAGGGGATAACCTAAGGACAAAATATGTGTAAAATAATAATTTCCACACAAAAAATAATACCCTAACTAACCAATTTCCCCACTTTCCTCCATTTGATATTTCGCCTCATCAGAATCGATATGAAGAGAATTACCGTCGAATTTTAGCAGGGTAACTGTATTACCGGCTGGCGGCAGGGGTACATAGGCCTCTTCCTTGAAACTATAGACGACCAAATTGTGGACCACATTTGTATTGGTCGTCGTCAGAACTTTGGTTATTTCTTCTGATAATTCGGCTTCGGTTAAATCCAATTGGTTGTCAGGCTTGACCAATTGGCGCGACTTTACCCAGGCATCCAAGTCGTCAGCATCACCACCACCAGCGCCATCTGTGGGTGGCTTTGGTTTGGCCGTTGAGGCACGATTAAGCTAAGATCCAAATAAGAAATAAAAGAAATTAACACTCCATCCCTGTTAATTGAAGCAATTTTTTGAAGATAAAATTTCTGTGCCAAGAGAAGAAGAGAGTATTGTGTGAAAATTTGGACTCACCACAGAAAGCGTACATACATACACATAAACATACATTTACTTAATCTACACTATATCGCTACAAATAGTTTTACGGCGGAGAAAAAAACTTGTGTTTTAAGAAGTTTGAATAAAAGTTTCATGCCACATGCAATTTTTGTAGTTTTATCTTTTTTACCTCATCCTCTTCATTGTCAATGACTGAACCTGTTTCGTTTACATTTCCAGGCTCTATGGACTCAGACTCAGATGCGAAAGTTTGCTCAGAAGCCATGGATCGGTATTTAAATAATTTTTTTGCTATCTAAATTAACTAAATTATTTTATTTACAAAAGAAATGAAATAAAGATTGCATTAAAAATTATAAAGCTAGAGATTCAGTTGTATTTACAGCAGTTTTTATAAGGCAAATAATTTTGTGATTTTACCCAGTATGGATTTGATATTAAACACATAAAAAGTGGGGACAGTGATTGAGAATCGTTCCTAATATGAAATATTTTTTATCTTATATTTTTTAGTTTCAGTTTTTATTAAAATTTCAAAATTCTCTTAAATTCCGTATATGTAGTAGTTTACACTTAACTCCATTCGTGTACTCTTCCGAGAACATTTACTCACCAAAAGTTAGTTGAGACAAAAATATGCAAAATATTTATCATACAACAAAACAATGAACCATGGAGTTCCAGCCCACAAAGAAACACACATTTTTATACCCTACACCACATAGTGGTAAGGGTATTAAGTCTTTGTGCATTTGTTTCTAACATGGAGAAGGAAGCGAAATAGACCCATAACTACTTTTGAGGATCTTCATAGAATCACTTTCTGAGTCGATTTATGCATGTCAGTCCGTCCGTCTGTCGCATTTATTATCCGATTGACATAAAATTTTCCAAACACTGTTTGGCTCAAGGATGAACCCTATTAAAATTGGTGAGAATCGCAATATAGCTACCATATATATCTTCAATTGATTTCGGATTAAAAGTGCACTAAATTGCCAATATCAGTTCAAATGACTTGAATTTTGGCACATCTGACCGAATTTCGTCTAGAAGTAAGTACATAAAAAAATCGGTTCATATATAGCTATAGCTCCCATATTTATTTTTCATCCGCTTTGGTGTTTAAATCCCTCGCATGCGTAACATGTACTCCACAACAATGATCTTTGGTACCAAATACAGATCAGAAATAAGTGCCTAAAATTTTATCAATATCGATTTAGATTTGGATATAGCTCTCATACGGGGAGAGAAAAAAAATTGATTGAACGCCATAAATTTTACATTTTTTTTAATTTTATTGAATGAAACAAAAAATGTCGGAAATTGCTTCAAATTTTAGAATAATTATGCAAAATTATGCAAGCACGAATTATGGCCTTCAAACGGCCAATAAAACCGTCACACGCTGCCCGAATGTTGCTCTGCGGTATTTTGGTCCATTCCCGGCGAAGCGCTTGCTTAAGGTGATCGACAATTTAATATTTTTTAGTGCCAACCTTGCTTTCCAAAATAATCCAGACACAATAGTCCAATAGATTGGTATCCGGAGATTTTGGTGGCCATTGTGCGCTGGAAATGACGCGAGGAACCTCATTTTGTAACCATTCTTGGTTGGCGCGTGCTGAGTGCGATGGTGCTGAGTCCTGTTGGAATGTCCAGGGTCTGCGGCCAAAATGTTTGCGTGCCCAAGGCTTTAATACCCCCTCCAGAATTCGCTATAATATTTGGCATTTATTCTGATTCGTTTGACTAATACAAGAGAAGAGCGACCATCGGCTGTTATGGCGGCCCACGCCATCACCATGGCCGGCACTTGAGTTCTGGTGGCCAACTGATTTTCAGCTAACCTCATTAGCAAGTATACACGATCACTTTTGTTTGTTTACAAACTGCTGGACAACGAATGTTTACTTATCGGAGAAAACTGAATTCGCAAGTTCACCACTTTTGGACAAGCGAAGCAACTCTTTATCTCTTTGGGTCTATTTTCTTTCTGTTGCGGTGTAAGTTTTTGCACTTTTTGGAATTTCAATGGATTTGCTCCGAGCTCATTTTTCAATATTTGCCGAATGGAATATTGCAATATGTTCAGCTCACGCGGGTTTCGACCAATTCGCTTCTTTACTTTTCGAACCATTTCTGCTGATGTTGCTGTTTTCTTCCGTCCACTTCCTTGACGTCGGGCTACGCTACCAGTATCACGAAGTTTGGCACTTACAACGGAATTCAGCCCAAAAGCAATTACTTAAAATTTTGGCGAAAATCGGTTCAGATATAGCTATAGCTCCCATATATATGTTTCATCTGATTTGGTGTTAATGTCCCTCACATGCGTAATATGCATTCCACAACAGGAGTATCTGATACCGGACATCAGCTAAAACTCGAAACGACTTCTGCCAAATTTTTATCGAAATCGGTTCAGTTATTCGGTTATTGTCCACCGTATATGTAATCTCAGCCCAATTGAATAGATTTTTTCATATTTAACCGAATTGTACCATTTGGTGTAATTCGGTTCGGTATATCTATTGCTCCAATATAATCATGCACTATATAGCAATATTAATTGCTTCTAGAGGTACAAAAGCCTCCGTCAGATTTGTTAAAAATCGATTCAGAGTTGGATTTATTCCACAAGTTGTGACTACTTTAAAGCCAAGATACGCATTCAAATAAGGTTCATACTTGTTAAGATCTACATCACATAAATTCCAATATAACCTTTTTTGTTACAGGAGATCTACTACTGGTGTAGGGTGTCTTATAGTCGGCCCGCCCATCTTTTGACATTTCCTTATTGGCTTGGTTTGGTTTCTTTAAGTCACCCGACAACACAAGGAAATTTGGTAAGATATATCGTATTTAGTATCAAAAGCATGTCTGCAAACGGCAGATGATTTTCAGATTTCGGAATGACACTGGTTTCAACGATTCAAATTTTAAGTCATACATAGAGCCTATAATTAGCTGCCTAAAATTAAAATCACTTCTCTTAATGTTAATAAATCACATAAACATTCAATTAGATTTCATGTTAATCTTAAAAAGTTGTCATGGGGATTAGTTTTCATTCTTATTTTTAATATATCTTCACATATGGAGTAATTACCAAATCTTCTTCATCCATTTGAAATCAAATATTTTTAATACGTTGCAGTTTCCACTTTATCCGATCAAAATAAAATAAATCCGTTTAAAATTACCGTTGAGCTAACTAAATTAAATTAATCTCAACAATCGTATTGAGTTTCTGCTAAACCAATTTCAATGACAATGGAGGAGCCATACTGGGTACTAACCACAAAAAATATAATATAATCTATATATACCTGATCTATATATAGATTATCCTCCTGCCTTGAGTGTTTTAATGCGAAAACAACAATACCAAACACCAATGTCTAATTAATCAAATATTTACAATGTTTGATGTTTATCCAATTATATGTATTTGAGTGTGTGTGTGTGTGAGGGAGTTTGTTTGAATGTTTAATTTAATGCATAAAATTAATATCTACAAATTGGTGGGGGTGTGTGTGTGTTTGTGTATAATTTGCTTATGCTAATTGTTTTTTTCGGTTTAATTTATTTTAATCCACTTGACTAATAGTTATGTTATTTATTATGATATCTACAACAGCAGCACATGGCTAAAAAGAATTCATGATTACAAGGAAATGACTCGAATAAAAACTTTTTCAATTATCATATTATTTGTAAATTTTAGTTATCTTCATAAAAACCACATTCATTTTAACCATGTTCGACTGTTGTGTATTGTTGTTGTCGTTGTCAGCCTATTAATAATATATAGATATTTTTATTTGTTTATTTTTTGTTTCTTTCATTATACCACAACAGCTTTATTTGCAAGTTTCCACATTCTCTTTCAGATTATTTCTACGGGTTAATTTTTCCGAATTCCAAATCCAAGATATTTTTCACTTGCAAAGAGTTTTCCGTTCAAAGAGTTACTAACATGAAATGACGAAAATTAAATTTGTTTTGCCTTCCGCCAAGCGGAGCAAAGCTGGCAAATATTCTAAAGTTTTTGTTTGGTTGTTATGATTTTGTTGTTGTTTTCTTTGATTTTCGTCCATAGTTTGTTTTCCACTTGGAAGGTGTGCACCTTTCTGGTTGTTCCATTCATATTTCAGAGAAGGAAATGCACAGTGGTTTTCCGATAAAAAGCCTTGGTTTTATATACATATAATATACATTGTGCATCACTGCATAAATATATAAAAAAACAATAAGAAAAGGTCAAAAGTCGGGTGGGGCCAACTATATGATACCCTACCCACCCACCCTACGCATAGTGTACAGCTCCCGTAACAAAAAAGTTTACATTGGGAATTGCTGTATAGTGCATGGTACGGAATATATAAAAAATATTTATTGGAGCAATAGGTATACCGGACCGAGTTTTACAAAATGGTAAAATTCGGTTGAATATGAAAAAATCTATTCAATTTGGGCTGATATTATATATATGGTGAGCAATAATCCTAACATCGGATGAAGATGTACATCAAAGCACATAAAAATCTGAACCGATCTCTATAGAACTTGGCAGAGGTATTTTCAAGCAGTGCCTGATGCCCTGTATCAAATACCATTTTTGAGGAGTAAATATTACGCATGTGAGGGATTGGATGAAACATATATATACGAGAGTTATATCTATATCTGAATCGATTTTCAAAAAATTTGAAGTACTTGCTTCTAGACTAAATTCGGTCGGAAGTTCCAAAATGCACTCCATTCGGACTGATAGTAACCACCTGGTGCACAATAAACGTAAAATCGTTCAAAGATATATGTGGGAGCTATATCCAAATATGAACCGATCCTGATAAAATTTGGAAACGGTATTGCTGAGCGGTATCTGAAATTCACTCTTTGTAACTAAAAACGCCGAATTCGACTTAGAAAGTGAATCTATGAAGGTTCTGAAAAGTAACAATAAATCTTTTTCGTTCGTTTGGGTGTTTTATTCGCATTTTTGTAACTTTTTTGAAAGGTATAATAAAGAGGAAAGGGGCGACATTTTTAGGAGCATAGAATTATAAACTGTCTTTTAAAATATTTTTCAGTACACTTCAAAAGAAACTACATTAAGTATGTACATTCACTACAGATTCACAATTTGGTACTGTTCCCCATTATGTATGTCAATGGTTCCAAATGAATTTCTCAGCCTGTAGACACTTATTAATATAGGATCGTCCCCTATAGGATTTAGTCCTCATACAGCCGGCTTTACCCTTTTTTAAGTTTTTACACAAATTTTTCAAAATTTTGGCACGAGTCAAAAAAGGCATAAGGGCCGAACTGTGAATACCCTCTACTATTAGTAAAGAATTTGCAAATTTTTATATAAAAGTTTCTGAATTCAAACCTGTTCCACCTTAAACTTTAAATACCATTAAGCCATAAAGTGGGTGTAGACCGTTGTATGAGGGCCATACTAAAACGGGAACCTTCATAGACAATTTTATACTTCAAACAATTTTGAAACTACACACAAATTTGAAACAATTTCGTGGGTAAATGTGACTAGGTTTATCAAAATAACGAGTATCGGCGGGTATCGTTATATTTGGGCTATAAGAAAACGTGGACATAAATATTCAATGTTCTGCTGCCGGAGCTAGAACCCATTATGAAAATGTGGCTTAATTTATCAAAATACCGAATATTGGTAGGTACCATTATATGAGGGCTATACAAAAAAGTTGTTCTGCCAAATTTTGAAGCTCTACTCAAAAAATGTGGGCTGTTTCGTCATTTTAACAGACAGACGAACATCGTTAAACCGAATTAGAATTGTATGCTGATTATTAGTATACATATATTTTATGGAGTCTACGACGATTATTTAGGAATGTTACAAACAAATGTAATATACCCTGCTTTTCAAGGCGGATGGTATAAAAATCCGTTGTAAATAAAATACTGCTTGAATCATAAAAATGCGGAATATACAAAGTAACCTTTATATTGGGGTCTATACGAAGACGTGAAACTGTCTATGTCATAGACTGTAGTACCCATTAGGAAATTGTAATACCAAATTTGAAACGATCCCGGTGAATAATGTCGCTAAAATTATCAAAATACCGAATAAAAGGAGGAACCATTATATTATTATATAATATCGAATATCAGGAGTTAGAGTTATATGGGGACTATACCAAAACATAGACCTATATTAACAATTCTATGCAAGGATATTTCTTACAAAATGGGAACACATTTTGCCAATTAACAGCAAATTCGGGTTAACATTGTGACTAAATCAGCAAAAAAACATCGATTCTAAAAATTTTTAAGAAAGCGCTCTTATAAATATTTCCATATTATAGGGTTCATATTCTCCCACTCTATTATACACTCGAACCTGAGGAAACCCTAATAAATATTGCCAAAAAATCTTGTAGGAAACCACTGTACATTTCATTCATAATAGCATAAGTTTGTAAACAAAAAGGGGTTTCAAGCATTACCCTAACTGAAAAAGGGTTCTTGTTGTTGCTATTTATTTTCATGCATTCATTAAAGTCAATATTCAATCATTTGTTTTACTTTCTTCATTTCACTCGACGATGATAAAAACTGAAACAATTGCAAACAAACTTACTTACTGACAGATAGGCAGACAGACAGTCAAACACAATTGGCAAACAATACGTCAATAATATTTCCTTCAATACTACAGAATACTCGTCGTCGGAAAGAGAGA